TGGTGGTGATGGCGTTGTTTTACCTGCTCATCTTGGGCACGGGCATCTGGGCATCCTTGCGTTCCAAAAAGGAGGAGAAAAAATGCACAGGAGACGGCATGGAGATAACTCTACTGGCTGGACGCAATATCAACTTACTAGTTGGTATCTTCACACTTACTGGTAAGGCAGTCAGATGGTGTGAATATATACACACTGAGTCTTTTGTATGGTGCACTAAATTTTGATCTTTGAAAGTGGTGCATGAATAAGACAAGTGAGTTGTTTTTCTTCGTCCGCAGCTACATGGGTTGGTGGAGGCTTCATCCTGGGTATAGCTGAAGCAACATACAACCCAACACTAGGTGCAGTTTGGGCACTCATGCCTGTGCCCTATGTCGTGACCTTCTTCTTAGGTGAGTGGAACCCACTTATGAAACAAGAACAAAGAGAGCAACAGCAGGACGTGTGCAATGCAAGTACAAAGCACTCAAAGCACGCTCTGGGTCGCGTCTGTTTGGTCATGCAGGTATTTTTTACATGATTTTAGTTCAGGCTTCATTTGATTGGATGCAACTGTGCAGGTCGGATTGGTGCTTGTTATCCTCACATTCCAGGGGTGGACTTTTAAATAGAAACAAAAAGTTGATGTCAGCTTTAATGAGCCTAACAACACAGCTTAGCCCCCTCCAGTGTTTGGAAGAAGAAAGTTTAACATTTGTATGCTTCATTTTACACCCAGGAGGAGCTAATGAAGGTCCTGTGGTACAATGACCTTTGGGTACGAGAGGTGCTATTGTTAGAGGAAGTCAGGGCACTCAAAGAATGCTAAACTGAAAACTATGAGAGAACTATGGAAATATGATAGAGATGTGAGCAGCTATAGGTTTAGTATTTTGACCATAATCACCTTAAGTTATCCAGTGTGTAAAATGCATTAATAAAACGAGTGTCTGTCTGCAGCAGAAGTGTTACTGACCGCCGTCCGTGCAACTCCCTTTCCTGCAGACCCCGTTTGACTGCACCAATAAAAGTGTTGCTCGTGTTAAAAATAGTACTGTAGTAAATCAGTTTAGGATTTTAACTGGAGGCAACAGGTGCAAACAGATGAGTTTACCCCTAAGCTTGGGTTGCCTTCTTGTGAATTCACCAAATAGACAAACTCGGCAGGGCGTCTGGCATCCATAAACATTTGTGACATGTTTAGTCATCGGCACTCGGGCACCTCTTTCACAAAAGCCCACAGATCGTGAGAGTAATGTGAACGGGAGCCTCTTATCAGGAAATACAACATGCCTCATTGTTGGCCTTATGGCCCCATGTGTTTGTCTGAAGGTGTTTATTATGCTATCTGGAGGGAGAACTTGTTTTTTTCTATTGTTCAAAAGCGTTCATTTTTTTTCACTCGGCCACTAAATTGCTTCCTTTCTCTCTCGTTAATGAAAGATATATGTAAACAATGTATCCTAAACTTGACAACATTTTCAAGGAAGTAATCAGATGTGTTGCTAAATCCCTTTGCTCCTCCTGCAGGTGGCTTTTTCTTTGCCAAACCAATGAGAGAGAACAAGTACGTGACAATGATGGATCCTTTCCAAAAGAAGTATGGAAATGTCCTTGCAAGTGCACTGATCTTTCCTGCACTGGTTGCAGACGTGCTGTGGGTGGCACGCACACTTGTCAGCCTGGGTAAGTTACTTCACACTGTATAAAAGGTCTGGCAACATAATGTGTACGCACATAATTGTGC